TGGTCGTGACACAGAGATGCACAGAACGTCCACGAACACTGAGCGCCCGTGAAGATGATAAAGGGAAAGGTTTTTATTCCACTAGTACAACCTGTCAATTCTCCAAAACTACTTGCAAAATCACTGCTAGGGCGTAGTTTATTGGCAGTGCGCCGACAAGCTGTACGTTAAGGTAAAAGCACTTCATAGGCTTACGTTGTGTTGGTCACCGACTTACTGAAACCCTGACTCTAGACGCCCTAACCAAATCTCACCTAGCGATATGAAACAGCAGAATAAACGTAAAATCGCGCGACGACCATGAACGAATATCAGGCATCTGTCACCTGTCATAAAACTGTCCATATGAAGGTGCCGGCGACTGGTCGATCAGTAACGCGGGACTACCTCATTCACCGTAAGTTCAATCATGGCCAATAAATACATGAGTAAGACCGCTATGAATATTATAATCATGATATAACGGCTAATGGTCGACATGTTCCCTTGCAGTTTTATTTATAGTGTACCCCGTAGTTTTCAAACTGTATGTCGATAAAAGTCTTAGGCATTGTTTTATTCTACGTAGACTTTCACTTACCTGTCTTCGGCAACTTCGAGGGCGCGAATGGTCCGTATCTGACGCTCAAATAACCCCAGACAAGAACTGATAAGCAGGTTGTACTGTACAGTTGCCATGGAATGATCCTTCAGTCCGAATATCAAGAATGGTTGCAAACCCATTCCAATGAATTCCTGTTAAGATAGGAGGACACGGTCAATTGTCAGTAGAACATTTAACTGCTTTTACTTCAGTTGATTCAACTTAAACAGCTGGCATACCGAATTCAGAGAACGCGTATGATTATACAACTGCTTCGTCCAGTCCGCAGATATGTTGATAACGGGAAGCTGACAGTCTTCGGGTGCTGAATTGCTTACGGAAACCTGCTCTGACAATCCGAAGCTTGAGACAATAGTACCGTTGGACGTGCAGGAAACATCTCCATGACAGTTTTCGAAAGACATTACTCATGCAGGTATTTGCGATGCTAAAAACAAGAAAATGCACGTTTTCATGTAGTAGGGAAAAAAGAGTCAAATCACGGGCAAAAATTGTAGTAGCTCAGGTTTCAGAGGCAAACACATCAAGGCGGGTTACCCAGGAAAGGAGGGTTACCCGTTAGCCAAGCTGCAGGCT